TATAAAATATTATTATTTATAAGAAAATATCATATTATATTTATAGTATATAATTATTTGTAATATAAATATTTTTGCCTACAGAAATGATATCCAAGTTAAAAGAAACACGAGAAAATATTTTAAGTTATTTTAAACATTCTTTACTTCTCTTTTGGCAAACTTTTTAACTTTATTTAACGTCTTTATTCTATGGGATGTCTTAGATATCGAAACACTGAACATGCTTCTTGGATATTTGATTACTTCATTCACATCTTAGAAATGAATTGCAACATTTAGAAGATAGTGAAGCTTTTCCTCTTCCTAACATTGATCGTTTTTATCTTTTATACTTAAAACACCGTACTGTGAGTCATTCTCGTACTGGTCACACAATCACTGTTCGTCCAAGAAATGTAAGACTTGGTATGTATTACCAAGTCTTACATTTCTTACAGTTTAACATGAACAGGAAAAATCACACTCATTTCCTTAAATAACTATGTATTCTTTTGGCTTAATTTCACGTCTTACAATCCTTCTACAGAAAAATTTGCTATAATTCACGATCTCGCCACCTTCCATCCCAACCCTTTACCTAACTCAGATTTTTCTCTAATTTGCCATTTTGCCTTTTCAATAACATCAACATCTTCAACGCTAATTTTGCTGTTTATAGTTATATAATTTCGCAATCAACTGCTTCTGTCGTATCGGTGAAAACACTGAACTTCATTAATTTTTTTTACTATGTGAATTAATTATTCCGAGGGTGTTAATAACGTTGTTTATAAGACTGAGATTGCAAATGATCCCAGGATATTATCGGACATATGCTTCTTTCCGTTACTGTGCAACTATCTCTTATGGAAAAAAGAATATCTCGATATACGAAATTTATAGTCGTCTTCAGCAGCTTATGAGATTCTTGATGTACGGTCCTTCAGAATAGGGGTCGAATACTTGAAAGTCGAAAATTAGAAAATTAGTAATCATAAAAATAGTCTACTGAAATACCGATTGATATCTAATGGAACATTTTCTAATCTTGAAAAAAATGAATACTGATTATTTCCATACTGTTTAAAACAACTTTTTCATGCATTACGTGACAAGAGATGGCAGAGAAGTCATTATTCTTTAAGATAATGCCCATTGTCATTTTGCACGTTCGAACACCCAATGCATTGAGATATAAATGCTGTAGATTTACAGTAGACCTCCCTATAAAACGGATTCATATAATACGGATTCGTATATAACGGCGAAAAAATTGCGATCGTATTCATATAAACCCAGTAAAAGAGACTCGTATGATATGGTAAAACGTCATCGCCGTCTCGTGTCGAGACAGGATTGGTCGAATCTAGACCAATAGCGGATATTGCATAAACCGTTGAGTTTAAACGAGCAGCGGACCTACTAAAAATCATTAATTATTTAACGTTCGTAAAAATTATATTAATATTGTCCCCAAACATCAGTAAACTTTTCAGAGAAAAATAATTTATCAGGAAACACGCGCCCGCCGTTCGATGCGCCGCTCTACGACAGAAACAAGCTTAAGCAATAGCGTCGTCGAACGGTGCACACTCGGTAAGTAATCCTACAATTTTTTGTTTATAGCATAGTTTATACGAATTATTCCCAAAAAGTTATACGTGTTTCGGAAATGTTGAGCCAAATTAGTCTAGAATAAATTACTTTTATGGAAGAAAACCTTTCAAACAGCCGTAGTCTGTAAACTGCATACGTGCCGAGTTTTGATTCGCTCATGTATTTAAGGACTCGTACAACATGAATTTCATAAAACACGAAACATATCTACCGTGTTATTGGGAGTCTACTGTATTTATCATTTCCCTGCAGTACACATCTACTGTTCTCAAACACACTTGTTTGATTTCATAAAAGTTCGTTTGATAAGAATACATTTTAGAAAGAATGAAGTAGTCCAAGAAGCTGTACGTCATTGCTTGCGTACTGGAGGAACGGAGTGGTCATTCTAAAGTATTTGAATTGTCAAAATGATAGCAAATATTGCAAAAACTCACTCTTGGAACTTCAACAAAAATATTTACATAGTTTTAATAAACTCATTTTCCCTTTGAATTCCCGGTGTTTCATGTTAAAAATCGGTGATCACATTTACATTTGATACAACTCTATAACTCTTGTAACATTTTCTTTCTTTTCTTTAAAGAATGGTGTAAAATGTAACTTTTAATTTATTATTTTATACAGGTGTGGATTGCAACAATCATGACTTTTTTCGTTGGATCGATATTTTTTTATTTAATTTTTAACGTGAGTGCAAAGTTTTATTCTGATAAAAAGACTTCTTTACATGACATCGTGATGGCTCTATTTGCTTCGTTTACGAATAAAGGTTAGACCTTTTTATTGTCTTTCATGTATATTAAAAATGAATAGTTTAAAATTTATGTTAAATTAATGCAATATATTTAAATATTAGTAATACATTAATTATATTAAAAATAATATTTTCTAAAATAATGGATTTCTTTTAAAATCAATTTATTAAAATTTTCAAATTGTAAAATATTTAATAACGTTTACATTTAACACGAAGATGACATTTCTCGCTTGTTCTAGATAGAATATTAAAATTATGCCTTTGTCGTGACAACCATTTTATTATTTCCTTAATCGTCTTGTTCTCTGGAATATTTCAATGTAATCTGTCTCTGTAATCCTGCTATCAGATACCGCTACCAAAGTGTGCTTTTTGGATTACAGAGACGGATTTACATTGAGAATTATTACTTCCTGTTGTTCATTCTCAAAATTTCGATCAAATCGATTGTCATTACTTTGCAAAACCTGTTTGAACGATTTGTCAATTTGAGTCGCTCCCAAGGAAGTTTGGTTGCTGCATTTAATAACGATTCCACGGTTATCGACAAATTTATGAAGCATTTCTTCTACTTACGTTAGTTTGTAAGCTTATTTTCAGAGATAAGCCGAAATAGAAACACGAGTTCGACTCTGGTGCTACCTCTCTCCCTCCCTCTCACGTATTTCTAATACACGGCACCTACCATCGAAAGATTTTTGGACCATCTTGCATTAGCTAATTGTTTTTCTACTTTCGGATAGACTATTCTTATCGGATCTATCAATTTCACCTCACCAATCTCGTGATAATTGGGCCTTTTCATATAGGTATTCTGCTTGTTTTCTCAGAATTGACCTTGCTGTCCGTCTTACAAGACCTGTCAGCCATAATGCTTTTACAGTTCACTGTAGTGCTTATATTACAATTATAAGTTTTTTTGTCCTATATTTTAATTAAACCTATTTTGAATTTGCTATAAATTTAAAGAACTTATCACTTCAGGATATTTAAATAAAAATTTTATTAAACCAATATGTAGAGAAGGTGGAATTATCGAACCCCATTTTTATTTTAGTGAATTGTAAACAGGGTATCATAACTTCACCCACACTTTTTGTGCGAAAAGTACTGGTAACTATTAAACTAAATGTTCCTAAATGTTCCTAATTGGATTTTTCGTTAGTGTAACTATAAGTATGGTTTTTGAAGGCTTTTGTACCAAAAGTCAGGAAGTAGGCTCAGAGAAAATCGGGTGGTAATATGTGGTATATGTTTTCAAAAAATGCTTTAATGTATCCAAAAACAAATAGGAAAGTACAAAGAATGTTAAATAATTACAAAATTATTTGTTCAGTATATTTTATCGAAAAACTGCTTTTATAATAGAAAATATGATCTCCATAAACAATATATATTCCAGCAGCTCTTTTTCGGTATTCTCGGGAAGAATTGGCTTTCTACTTAGTGTCTTTTTCACAAATTGCTCTAGACGAATGTCTGCTTGCAAATAGAGAGTTCGGAGGAATTGCATTCTATGTTAAAAGCACCAATGGGGTCCACATTAAAAGCACCAGTGGAATCGCCATCTTGAATTAACTTATGTCTGTCAAGACCAAATTTTAAATTTTATTACACAGATTAGTATGTATTCCTAAGTCTCTGGAACGGAATACATGCACCAGTAAACCTACAGCTACACGATTTATGTTTTAAAAATACTGTAGACCCCCCTATAACGTGATAGATACGTTCCGCTTTATAAGAATTTCACGTTATAGGAAACCTTAAATACATGAGCCAATCGCAGCCCGACACGTGTGAAGTTTACGGACTACGGCTGTTTGAATGGTTTTCTTCCATAAAATTGATCGATTCTAGACTAATTCGATTCAACATTTCCAAAACACGTATAATTTTTCGGGAATAATCCGTATAAACTATGCTATATACAAAAAATTCTAGGATTACTTACCGAGTATGCACCGTTTGACGTCGCCATCGCTTAAACTTGTTTTCGTCGCGGAGCAGCGCACCAAACGGCGGCCGCGATTTCTGATAAGTTGTTTTTCTGCGAAAAATTCGTTGATTTTTAAAGACATCATTAATATAAATTATTTTTATTGCCGTTGAATAAGAATTGTTTCTTTCACAAGAAATGTATAAAATTACAGTACTGTATTAGACTTACGGTATCTAATTTACATTTTGTACAGACGATAGTAAACTCAACTTACTCGCCTAAACTCTCCGTAGTGTGGCGCTGGACGGCGGAAAGTATATATATAATTATAATAAAGTTACAATAAATTAAGTTAATATATAATTATATATACAGTACCTAATTTATATATAATACTGTACAGACGATAATAAACTCAACTTACTCGCCTAAAATCTCTGTAGGGCTGTTCGTCTACTGTTGGTCCAGATTCGACAATCCTGTCTCGACACGAGTCGGCGACAACGTTTTACGAGTCCCTTTTAGCGTCTTTATATCAATACTGTCGCAATATTTCGCCACGTTATAGTAATCTCTGTTATAAGAACCCGGGTTATAGGAGGGTCTACTGTAATTAAATTCACTTAGCATTCAAAACTTTCGAATTTTGAAAAACACAAATTTGCTGATTCACTACGGACAACCGTTTAAGTGAAGTGAGACGGGTTTTCTCTTTGCTATAGTTGTCTGCCTAGTTCAGTTTAGCCACAATCCGCTACAGTTCGTCTTTATTATCAGTTCGAAATGGAGTGGTTTCATAATACCCGCAGTGTTCCATAATACCACCTTTTCCTGTATAGTAACTCTGGAGAAGTGGGTAATACTTTTTTTGCATAAGACTAGTTTTTTGAGATTTATATTTTACAAACCATAATCAGGCACATAAGATATATCTCGGGTGTCTTAAGGGTGTTCATGGTTTTCATCTATTACGTTAATCTACTGGAGAAAAATTATCCAAATACTGATACATTAATTCCATCTTTTCTTAAAATATAGAGAAAGATGAATCAAAGAAAAACTCAAAGAGAAAAATGATTACGTAGAGCTTTTTCATGTAATGTACATTAGGTGACAAATATATAACTTATTTATATCAAAAACATAAACAATAAAATTAACTAATTATTTTACAACTCAGAAGACTCATTTGAATTCTCTCTATTTGTGTGCTGTCATCATTAAGTTCAATCTCGTCGCACTTGGGGCAGAAGGTTGCGCGCTTAGTGTAGATCTCATGCATCCACCTTCTGCATCCTACATATTCTATTCACTCGCAGGACTTGCCACAAACGCAACAGTAATCAGCATTGTTGAAAGAGGCTGGTTTATCTTCACTAGTCGACTCTCTTTGACGGATTCGTTTCTTTGTTCTCTTCCGAGAAAAGTAATGGGGGCTGGCTTTTTTTCTTTCCCAATTTTTTGGCCGTTTTCGGCTTCTAAACTCCGAAAAAACTAGTTCTGCATATTGTGTTTTTGGATGTGGTTTGTGTCATGTACTTATGAGTGGAATTTGGCGCAATTCTTCAAAACGTGCCGAAGTTGAGTCTCTGATGAATTTGCTGACAGTACTTGTGTAGTGGGAAAAGGAAATGCAGATCAAGCTGTGATTGTCCAAGTGACTGGTCGGTGGAAGAAAACACGATATTTTGAAGGATGTTGGTTCATCGATGACTGACAAAGACGGGATATCTACAGGCAATCCTCTTGAATGCACAATTACGCATATCTCGAACCCATTTACAGTTGACCCGTTCATCCCACTAGATGGCGGGCGTTATGGTTTTTTTTCTTGTTAATATTTAATGTTTAATATTAATATTGTAGAAAGTTGGTAACACCAGAACGGTGGTGTTAAGTTCCAAAATGTGCGAGAACATAGCGGAATGCTCTTTCTATCGAATTATTGTATATAGTAGATTTATTGGTTGTTCTGCGAATAAAATCTAAAGACAGACTTAGTGAACTACTGTACTCTTGGTTGAAGATACGACGGAAACCTGGCATACGAACAAGAAGGTCAGATGAGACTTACGAAAATTAATTAATTATCACATGAGACAAGAATCGTCCTGCCGCGACAACAGTATTGCTGTCTTTAGAATCAAGCTTTTTAGGTTTCTCCTAGCAGTTCTCTGTATTATGCTATAGTATAAATATTATTTCTACACCAGAAAGATTATTGGTTATGCAGTTTATAGTTAAACAGATGAAGAAGTTTTTATATCAAATTTATTTCAGAGCAAAATCAGACTTTCACTAGATAACAGGAACACGGGTAAGATTGGGAAGATAATATTAATTGTCTTCCATCGTATGTTGGGGTAAGATAGTTAATACCATCTTCCTAAACCTGTAGAATAAGATGGTTTTTTATCTGATTCGGAATTGAGTGTGGCTGCCTTCTTGTTTCACTTACACATACACTTAACAAGTTGTTCCATTTTCATTATTGTTGGAAAAACTATCGATTATCTTAGGTTATCGCAGCTAAATAGCATTCTATGACAAGCATGTAATAATTTCAGATGCTAATTTCATGCCTATAAATTTTTAAATCGTTATATATTGAATGGTATTAATATTTATAGAAAAAATGCTGCAGGTTAAAATGCAGGAAGGCTTTGATGCGCGTAGTGTTGTAAATGCAGCTTTAGAGATATAAAGACATCCCTATAACGCGGGTTTCAATAACGTAGATTCCTCTGACGCGGCGAAAAAATTGCGGCAGTATTCGTATAACGGGGCGCGTAAAACGCTTTAAAACGTCATCGCCAACTTGTCAACGCGGACGAGCAGTCGAACTATTTTCCGCCGTCTAGCGCCATGCTACGGAGAGTTTAGGCAGGTAAGTTGAGTTTAACTATCGTCTGTACAGTATTATATATAAATTATATATAAATTAGGTACTGTATATATAATTATATAATAACTTAATTTATTGTAACTTTATTATAATTATATATATGCTTTCCGCTGCCTGACGCCACGCTACGGAAATTTTACGCTAACTATCTTCTGTACAGTATGTAAATTAGGTACCGTAAGTCTAATACAGTATTGTAATTTTATACATTTCTTGTGAAAGAAACATTTCTTTTTCAACGGCGATAAAAATTATTTATATTAATGATGTCTCAAAAGTTCAGCGAAGTTTTCGCAGAAAAATAACATCAGAAATCGCGGCCGCGGTTTGGTGCGTTGCTCCGCGACGAAAACAAGCTTGAGTAACGGCGATGTCGAATGGTGCACACTCGGTAAGTAATCCTACAATTTTTTGTTTATAGCGTACTTTATACGGATTATTCCCGAAAAATTATACGTGTTTTGGAAATGTTGAGTCGAATTAGTCTAGAATCGATTAATTTTATGGAAGAGAACTTTTCAAACAGCCGTAGTCCATAAACTTCACACGTGTCAAATACGTGAGTCAATCACAGCCCAAGGATTCCAACAACGCGAAATTCGTATAACGAGGAACGTATCTTCGCGTTATACGGGGTCTACTGTATGTCGAAAATCTCACGAACATTGAGGTCGTAACTAGGGTTTCTCAAACGGGAATCCGGGATCCCGGTTGTTTTTTTAACCCGGGAAATTTTTCTTATTCCGGGAAATCCCGCAAATTTTTTAAAAATTCACTTTTTTTCTTATTTTGTGTTAAGGTTGAGGAATTTTGCAAATAGAAAGCATAATTAACTCATTCACTGTCAGAATACATTTGTATTTATTAATTTTAAACCTACCTATTAGTTTTTTTTTAAATTTTTGCTCGTTATAGCATGTCACAAATGGTCAATAATCAATATATAGCTTATTTGTGGCAGGACTATAAAAATTCTTTACTTGTCGGAACCTGTAATATCTGGAATAATTGTGCTTACGCTGTCTTGAGTTTTAACCATGCCCAGTAGCTTCAATAAATGCCTGACGCCAGATTGTGCAAATTGGGCAAGGATACAAACGAGTACAAAGTCTGCAAGTATGAAGTTTTTCTTCATAAACCTGATTATTAAAGCCAAATGAATTGCCGAATTATCGAGCTCTAAGCTTGATGCCGCTATTAAAGCAGCCAAGGTAGACAAATCAAGAATACTAGAGAGCGAAAGAAGTACTACAATCTCGAAAACGAACTCGAAAGCTTCCAGGCTACAGGTGAAAAAACACATAATATCTGTCTTCTCTTAAATGCATTAAACACTATTCCAATCACATCAATTGAATCGGAAAGGGCATTCTCGGTGGCAAGACTTTTCATTACTAAAATAAGAATTAGAGTGAGTTATCGGAGTATTGACCATCTTTGCTTTTTAAAATCTTATAAAAGTTTGCAATATTTTGTATTATATTTTATTTAAAAAACGAAAATTACCTTCTAAATTAGAAGTTCATTTTTTTAATTTTTAACTCAATTCAAAAAATTTTTTTTTGTTGTTGTTGTATGCAGTTTCCAGCAAACTTTAATTAATTTTTTTCTATTTGTGAAAATTTCTACGTTATTTAAAGGTAATTTTTATTATAGGCCTATAGACCTTACACAGCATTATTAATATGATTTTGGAGGTTACAGAACTTTAAAATTACTTTAAAAAATGGAAAATAATTATATCATTTGATTTCAAGATATTTTGTATACCTTAAAAATAATTAATTCTATCCCGGGATATCCCGGGATCCCGGGAAACAGTTCACTTTAATCTCGGAATCCCGGGACAAGCAAAAGACCGGGAAATGAGAAACCCTAGTCGTAACCATCTTACTTCTGTAACTATCTTCCCACGAGTTATCTTACAATACGGGCAATCACTTGGTAATATACCTCAGTTAAAACAAAAATTTAGTTTACAGATTAGAAAGAAAACTGTGATCTGATAAGGCCTTTAAATTTATAGCAAATTCAAAATAGCTATTAAGAAGATTAATTACTACTTATATTTTTAAACAATATCTAATTAAAATAGACATTTCTTATTCCTTCAATTTATAAGTTTATTCGGGATAACAATCACCTCGAAACGATTATCGATGTTTACAAACTGAACGGAATTAAAAAAAAGTAACGCTTTTTATAAAAAATTATTTGTTTACATTCTCAGGCACGTATGTAAACGGTAAAACTCTTTTCTGCCGTGAAGATATAACAGAAACAAAAACGTAACTGAAGTAGAGTAAATTGCCTTAAAATGCTTTCCGTTTTTCGAGATTCTATACAAACAAAGAATTTAAATCTGCGAAGTGAATAGAAATTCGTATTAATTTTTTTATTAGTTTCATTTAATAATTGACGAGTAACCTTTTGTAACCTTTATGGTCGGCACCTCGTTACTGTCCTGTCATGATTGACACCACCGTGTTTATTAGAACACGGAAGCCGAGACGGCAATTACTACGTCACGCGAGCGGTCCCGTAAGTGGACAAACGGATTCGTAATGTCAGCCGATCGAGAGACAGCATGTGGAACAGAGTCGAACTACATTTAACAATTAACAAGGATTTAATCAAAAATAAATGGGAAAGAATACAGAGGTTCTAAGTTTTGGACGCGGAGAGAGAGAGAGTTCACATAACGAGCGCGAGTTGCATAAATACCTGGTGATAAATGGTGATCTCCGATGGAGCTCTTGTTGTTTGATATAACAGTTCCTTTGGTGATTAGTTCCAATATAATATCCACTAGCACAAGGAAAAGTATCCAAATAGGCTGGTCGATGATATTCCGAGAGTAATCGGTGAGGGTTTCCTTTGTCAGAACGATAGACAACGACTTCTTTCCCCAGGAAGGACTAAAACGGCGACTGACTTTTTTCGGCAGTCTTTGGCGATATTCACGGACGATATTGGCCGTCCAGAGATGAATACTTCACGAGAAGGCGTCATGTTGCCTTCGAGAAAATGTAACGGGTAACTTTCACAGGTAGCTAAGAACAACAATTGTTACGTAACTCGAACAATATTAATATTAAAGTCTAGTTCAAATATAAGAATTTCTGCAACCTCACACGATTGCAAATAACTACTTGCAAATACTATCTAAAACTACTTGCACTACTTGCAAATAACATTTAAAACAGAAAACCATTTCTGTAAAATGTTTTAAAATATGTTTCATTTTCAAATCATTTATTTACACGTTAAGTATTTTTTCATAGTGTTATTGCATTGAATTGTTTTTTTTTATTTTGTTATCATACCGGTTTCATTCGTATGATACTCGCGGTTACTACTTTAAACTGCATATTTCCTCTCTGGTGAGTATTTCCTTTGCTCATACTCGTCTCTATCCATTATTAATAAAGTATTTAAATAAATTATTTATTTTTAAGGATTATTATTTATAAAAGAAATTACGAATAAAACATACCTTTAATAATCCAGCTAATAAAAATTAATAAATTAAAAACGTTTTCGATCGTTTCTTAACGATTTTAATTTATTAATTTTTATTAGCTGGATTATTAAATATGTGTATTATTCGTAGTATTTTTATCCAGTTAGTTTGTTATATAAGTATAAAAGAAATTAACTTTGAAAAGGCAATGGTATCTTCTTCTGTAAAAGATGTCACTTTATATATAGCAGTAATAGGAAATATAATACCACAAGTAATGGAAATGCCAACTGGGTTAATTTAATGGAGAATTTCGGGAAAATGATTTTTCTCTTACACAGTATTTTTCAAATAAGAATATAAGATACTGTACTTTTTTGAGTAGCTTAAGTTACTGAATGTAACAATTCTTCATATCGTGTCCCCTTCGTATTCAGTTCCATATCATTCCACATTTATTGGAAATGTTTTCAAAACTAGCAGACACTGTCGTTTAAACTAGTAAAAAGTTTGTCGACGACTTCGCATTAACATAGGTAATACCAGAAATTCTACTACTGTCGAATTACTAGACGTGTCAAACTAGCGAACAATTGGATTCCCAATATCATACTATAATTAAAAAATACGCCTTCTGTATAATGTATGTTTTCCATATTTCATTTTCAATCGAAGTTTGTTTGCTAAATATATAAATAAATAAAGTACCTGGCTACTACCGTTTACGGTATTTATTACTTTTACATCGTTTCCTTTAAAAACTTTTGATTACTGAAAACTTGTCTTTTGCTATTATTCAAATATACCTGGTAGTATTTTTTCGTATTTAATAATAACATTCATATAACATCAATAAAATTTACTAATCAGTTGAATGAACAGGAATATGAGAAGTTATAGGTTAGAGAATTCAGATTCATGTGCAAGAATACGTTTAAGTCATTTAATATTAATTTAAGATTTTTAAGAGGTACAATAGAACCTCGAAAACTCGGCTCTCGATAACCCGGCACTCCGGATAACTCGGCCACACCCTGGCAGGGCAAAAAAATCCTTAGTTAATTAATTTTCATTATAGACAGTTTTATAAAAGTATAAAAGCTCTCATAAAGTATTTTTCTGCGGTCTGTCTTATCAGGTAAATTACTGTACACAGTGTATTCATTAATTTTCATTTTCATGTAGTAAAGGCTCTATGCCTTCATAAAGGACGTACTTTTCCTTTGTTTAAGGGTATTTGGGCAGTTTATTCTCTGTTATATTCTCAAGTAAACAATACATACAAGTACAGTACAGTATTTTCTGAGGAAACACTCGTACTTATTTTTTTTTAACCCCATTCCCGATAACCCGGCATTTTCACAAACTCGGCCACCCTTCGGTCCACATTAGGCCGAGTTTTCGAGATTCTACTGTATTAACTTTTATTATTAATAAAACTGTACAATAGAGAACACTTAAACAATATTAAACATGACTGAGTATGTCAATAATTATAAAATATATTATTTATTTAGAAAATAATATTTTTCAACCTGCTGGAGAGAGTCGCAAACTGCTGGTAATCATGTGGATTCTTGCTGTATCTACTCTGGTATATAGCTATAGCGGATGTTTGATGTCATTTCTATCATTTCCTGGTTTAGAAGATGTACCTAGGACATTTCCCGATTTATTTCAGGCTGTAAAGAACGGACATTATACTTTGAGTACTAATATGAAATCAGTAATAGGAGTAGTGATTAAGGTATTTGATGTTTGAGATATAATATTAGCTAATAACTCTAATTCTGTAACCATCGATTGTTTTTCGGGTATTTGAAGAATGCGAAGCAAGAACGAATGGATTACAAAAATTAACATTGCAGGAAAATAGATATAACCACACTCTTTGCCCTAATAAATGAACAGACTCGAAAATATCTATAATATTTAACAACTCTTAATTTTTAGTCATATTTTTTAAACTTATTTAATTTAAAATATATGCTCTCTACCTCAAATTATTAGTTTTGCTCTGTCCACTGTACATCATACTTTTCCTGTTAGCAACACAGTCATGATGGTCATCTATCTAACTCCTTTCAGGGGACATTTTTTAATTCAAATAACGTGAATTACTGACTGCCCTACGAATTATATTTCTCGTTTAGGCTTTCATCTATCTTCACATTCTAGATTAAGAAAAGACAGACATACGGTTGACAGTGAAAATTTATTGTCTATTTTTTTTTTAAATTGCAACAGAAAAATTACAATAATGCAGCTGAAATCTACAATAAACGAAGACTAGAACTCCATGTCTACAGTTTAAATATTTTCTACAGTTGTGTATGACTAAATTATCTTGTTAAACTATAAGTGATTTTAAGAGCAATAACTTTATACGATAGAAAACAATAGTGATAACTTACGTACAATTTAAATAATTCTTCTGACATCTCTAATCAAATTCTTTTATAGAAATTAAATTAAAGATAATTTAACTACAATATTCGACATAAAGTATGGAAGGAAGGAATTTGAGAGGGAAGTAGTATAGTTCAATTCAACGAATCTTGAATGGGCGATGCGTTGTAGTCAATCAGAGCTATAAAAATTTTATTTTAAAAATCTACTCTGGTGACTTCAAACACTAACAAGATTTTAAACTGTATTAAACAATTTTAATATTAATCATCACGAAGCTGTTTTAATAACAATATTCTTGTTCTTTTTCGAACACTACCTAAATAAGGTAGGCTTATTTCCACACGCCTGAGGTTCCGAAAAAATGAGTAATTTTTATTAACAACTTTAGTATGTTTCGAAAGTAATTGAAACCCAGTCAACAAGAAATCTGGTACCCTTATATAAGGTAAGACAATATTAACTGCTCTTCGATAAGAAAACCAGTTAAGAGTCTGTACGAAGCCAAATATTTTTTTCGTTTATTGTAGGCAAGTTTCTTTATTTCTCTGTAACAACCGAGAAGAAAATTATCTTCTTATTATAATTAAAATTGATAAAAAGTTTGTTTTTTATCGTTTAAATTTAAAACCCTATATTTGGTAATTGTAGGCTATTAGGTCCGTGGCGACTCAAAGTTTAGTTTAGTACATTTCTCTATATTTGGCATTATTATTTAGCGTTTATCTTTAAACTGATACATAAAACTGATTGTATTTTTCTGGTTATATCAATATACGCAATTTATTTAATTCTGAAAATTTCTTAACACAATCATCAGGTTGGGTTCTGGGACGTGGAATCTAAAGTTAGTGTCAGACATTTCATATTCTTTTAGTGATTAATTAACAGATGAACCCTGTCTACATGTTAACCTGTATTGTGTGGATTTTTATTTATTGTTAAATATTGACATTTTAGTTAAAAATCAACGTATTTCGTGTGTAATACAGTGCAAATAATTGCATAATAAAATATCTTATGTCAATACGTTAAAATTAATATATTTAATAAATTAACTTTATTTATAACAGAAAGGAGAAACAGAATCAACTGCTACTATGAAAAAATTTCTTACCGAAGGAAAATTGGTGGAAATAGAAAAAAGACATTTTTTTGAAAGGATGTTTGCAATTATAAGTTTCAGCAACATCGTGTTATTTAATGTTAAGACAATAGGAGAGGAAAATTATCTGTCTTCTACAGATAATCTGTTTATGCAATTTGTGTCATTTGGCCTAAGAAAAAATTTCCCCTTAAAAACAGAATTTGATCAAATGTGAGTATATGAATAGTACCTAAAAATAATTTTTGAACAAAATACATAAAAATTAACTTTACATGAATAAAAATGTGTTTCGTAAATTATTTTATTATTTTAAAATTAACACATAATGTTGTTTCTTCGCATATATTTTTATTTCAGTTTGAGAAGATGCCTTGAAGCAGGATTACAAGAAAAATTTGTTTCTGATGAGATACTTCGTTACAGCAATGAAAGACAGTCGTTGTTCGTAGAACCTGATGATTTTCGTCCTTTAACATTAAATGATTTGTTTGGATCATTCGTAATACTAATAATTGGACATACAATTTCAACAATTATATTTATCTTGGAAATTATCATTAAACAAATAACTTCTCAGTATTTAAAATAAATTGAAGTGTTCTAGATTTATTTTCTCAATCAATATACAAGATGTAAAATATAACTCTTATTTTTGTCTATATCATATAAGCAACACTAGACTGATTTTGATTAAATTAATTTATCTCTATGTACTGTACTCACGACTTTGCCCACGCAGATATTGCAAGCAAGCCTCATTTATATTCAGTATTTCGACAACCGTAGTAATTGTTATTTAACAACTATTGCCGAGAACGGTGACAATTGCTCAGAATCAAACGAACTATTTTCGATTTGATCAATTTTCTGGAACGTTTATAATCATTCTATAATCGAAACAATATGAAGTTTTAAAAATGTTCGAACAGTTTTAAAATCGAACAAATTCGATTTTAAAACTGTTCGAACATTTAGTTAAAAAATCGAAATACATCAAAATATTTATAACTGAACGTCTGAAATGTTATCAATTTAATTTAATACCCCTAAGTACTCAATGAAGACTAAACGTACTTGAAAACAGTAGAAGCCGTTTTTCAGGTTACGCCTTAATGCCCTCCCTCTACTCCCACGGGGAAATTTCGAAAAATCCCTTCTTAACGTGCGTTTTCATGACGTACCTAACTGTGTATAAACTTTCACCTCTTTAGGTTCAGCTATTTGCTCTGGGCGATGATGAATCAATCATACAATCAGTCAGGACAAATAATTTTATATATTTAGATAACTGAATTGCAATGTTTATAATATATCAAACTTAATAGCATAGCTCTTGATATACCCAAAATACAAAAACATTCGAATTTCTGGATTAGACAAAATTTCACTTATTCAAAACNTTCCTTTGGATAGGACTTAGAATTATTTTGTGTTGAGGACCTTTGGTGGTCTCACTTACGGGATAGACGGACTTCGTTGTTCGATATTGTCGCGACTCGGAACTTATTATGATTATCGCTTTCATGTTGTTTAGGATTAATGTGTAGTCTTAATGTATTTGTATTTATATTTAAGTTTATATTAAATATGTTATTCCTAATTTAATGACTCTTGATAAGTACTATCGACATCTCATCATGACTTCGTTACGCCTCCCACTCCTTTTGCCCTCCTATAGCCACTCTCTGACAGCGCGCCGGTAAGTGGGAGAAACTCTTATCCTATCCCCTCGGTTTGCACATATTGGTGTCATCCGACAAAACAAGCCATCCGACAACCGAGAGCGGGTCTTCCCGACCCGTGCAGATTAAGCGGTCATTAGGGTTCGACCCGGTGACCCCCTGCTACTCACAATTTCTATATTTAATAAATTTTCTATTAACTGATTGAAGACTTCGCACGCTTCAACAATACATTATACTTTATAAAATTTATATCTATGTAATAAATATTTTTGTAATGTGTATAATTTATCATGATATATACCATAAATAATATGAAATTTTTAATGCAATTCTATATTTAAAATATGTTGCTTTATAATTTTTTGACAACATGATGTTATTGAAATATAATTTATTGTTAAAAATTAATCCTTTGCATTAAATTCAATATAAAATTATTTATAAAAAGTGCTATTTTTACAAAATAGCACTTTTTATAAATAATGTGTTTTAAAACAAGTATACTAGTGTAATGTATTATTAGCTCCTCTAAAGTTGTATAAAATTTCAGATAAATAAATAGAATAGGTATAATTATATCTACTGTATCGCTTTGTATATGTATCTATTCTATTCTTCTATACTATCTATTATATAATTCTTCTATTATATAATTTTTCTATTTTGTAATTTTAATATATATCAGCATATTAACCTATTAAAGTCTATTTAGCTAAACATAATTATATAATTCAAATAATATATATATAATTAATGTGAAATAAAGAAAACATACTTCTGACATTCAGTTCTCGAATCTTTAAATGAAATATTTATAATAGAATATAAAATCTTACGCTTAATTAGTATATTACATTGTAGACGGTTCAGTAATCAAAATTTACAAAGTGTATAGAAAATATTATTTTTTTATTCAGTATTTATGTCATTATAAGTCATTCACTACTATCTTACAATGACATATCGTTTGTCATGAATATACACTAATGTCCAAAAATTAAGAATAATGGCTATTTCTGTGAATATTGTGCTTAACAAAAGGCAGAATGAATCGGAAATAGGTATAGTCAGTTAGAAAGCTATTTCGTATAAAGGAAACAATTGAAGAACACACAAAAATATTTTATTGCATATTTTATTCAAAAAATACATAATGGAGAAAAGAGAATGTAAAAGAGGGAGTTGTCTGTTGCTGATAGAAAAAAACTTCTACAATTGTTTAAATAATAAGAAGAGTAATTACCCCTTGCTGCAATACAAACATAAATGGTGATGTTTTGCGATTTTCGAATCTTGCAACAAAATAATTTTCAGGTCAGCGATGTTCCTTGGTGGAGGCTGGCGAGCATCACTCTTATGTCCATTTCACACATGCACAATCAGGTTTAAGTCAAGAGAACATGCTAGGATTTCATGTTTTGAATAACTTCGTTTTGAAGAAAATCGTCGCTCAGCAGAGAACTGTATGACCTTCTCTTACCGTTTATGAATAAAAACAGTTTATTTATAGCCCCTCGGAAAATGACAAACATCGTGAGGTTTGAGAATCTTATCTCTATATCTTGTTCCATCAAGTAACTTCTCCGAAAGTGGGACGGCCAGTACGTCTATTGAACGTTAAGCCCATTCAGACCACAATGGCTCACATATAAGAAGGAAACATTTGAGGACTGACTGCGCAGACCTGGCCTGAGGAAGTCTAGAATTTTCTGTTGTCCGTATACAAGGAGGACAACTTGTATTTCAGTTCGCCGTGGCATATGATGAAGAGGTTCTTGTTGATGTTTATTGGCAAAACAAACTGTATTAAAAGTCAGGTGAAAAAAGCTGTGAATAGAGTGTAAAGAGTAACAAAAAAGGATCGTATTCATATAGTAACCTGTTCTCAGAATTAAAATTAGTATCTAAACAATGCCCAACTATTTGAGAATAAATGAAGAATCTTGAAGATGTGTGTAATTATTTCTATGTTATGTATGAATTTGTTGATTTTATAATCATTTGTTACAATTAATAATAAAAACGTTTTTTGTACTGTTTTTTTTTATTTTTAATGATAATTTTGTTTGACAATGGAATGATAATTTAACACCTCATACATATCCACTTTATTCAATATCGTTTTTATTAAGTTATGGCAAGGCAACAGTTGGGCGAATCTGCTTAGTGGAATGCCTTCCGGGATGTCTTATTAACCCGGCATGAATGAGGTGAGAAATTGTCACACCAGCTATGAGGTGGGTAGGAGATACCCGAAACTTCGATGCAGAATTTTTTATACTATAATTGTGTATTTAGTATTTTTTTACTTGGGATAATAATAATAGTATCTATTCAACAAGATGTGTAAATAAAATATCATGTTTAAGAATGAAAAGCATTTTTTTTATTGAAATAAGAAAGACCCTATATTTTCTTTGAAAAACTACAAGTTTTGTAGTTTAACTTTTTTTCATATAAAATTCTAACAAAATTACAACTTCTTTGGTTAATCAACATAACTATAGTATCTTTCAATTATAAAAATAGAAAAAAAAAACTAAAACTTCTTATGAGATCAATTTGCACAGCACCAACATTACACCTACAAATCAACACAATCTCACACATAAAAATCGCATGCTTCATAAATATTGGTTTCTCACACTTCGAACAGCAATGTTTTGTTTTTCTATCTGTTTTTTTAGTACAGTCACCGCATCTGACATATTTACTACCCACTTTTTTGGAAACAGGTAATGAAGGTTCTCCCAGATGATCAGTAATCACTTTCGAGTTTCCCTTGCATAATGCATGTTTTGTTGTCTAATGCGAAGGCTATCATTTGAGAAATCTAGAAATAAATGTAAAAATACTATAAATAACTATAACTCATAAATTTACTGTCAACTCAAAAATGTAACACCGAGTATGAGGTCGGGTGTGACGTACCCCAGCCACATTTGCTCATGTGTATCTTCCGCTGACACCGGCAAAACACTAAACTCAACACTCGTTGTTCGTTTCGATTTAAATTGATTATTATTATTTGCACCAATAACTGAGAAAGTTAATAATCAGAGGAAACAAGGATTGTCTGAAAATTTGTCTCTGGGGAAATAAACTATACAGAACAAAATCTATTATTGAACAATCAATAATTAATACACTACAGTAATATCTTTGAAATCACTTTGTTTCTAGTTATCTTCCTCTACTTCGATGAAAGTAAATATTAAACAAGTGTAAAGAAAAGTGGGCTACAACGTGAAATTCGTATAACGTGGAACGTATCTACGCGTTATAGGGGGGACTACTGTAAATAATACTTTATGGTGTATAAAGAGTATTTTACTGTTCCATTGTCACGTTTATCGCTATACTCGGATGATAAGAAATGGCACAATTTTCTTATGATATATTCAATTCTTTGTCAATATCTTCTATTGACGTACACAGTCACTTTTTTTCAAAAATATTCATTTTTTCTTCGTTTGTTAGCTGCTTAGATTTGTCCATGAATAAGTAGGAACTACAATAGGAAAATTATCAGACAAAATACATAAAGTTAAGTTTCTAAAGTTTTGACACAAGGGTGGTTTATGTAATAAATATTTTTTTGATTAAAATAAATATTTTGAATTAAAACTTTTGATGCATTTTGTAACTTATTTCTTTAATCAAGGAAATAAATACAGGGTGTCCCAAAAACTATATATACCTATAAACTATATAAACCAGTGATGGGCAAACTACGGCCCGCGGGCCAGATGCGGCCCCCTGAAATGTTCTATCCGGCCCGCGCGACATTATTCCTAATCTGACGAGTAAAAAA